TGACTGGAGTTCAGACGTGTGCTCTTCCGATCTTTCATTGCAAAAATTAAAGAGAGAATTAGCTCTTAAAAATATCTTAAATATTTTACATTACTTTTAATCACTGTTACACAATAAAGCAATTTTCCAGCACTTGAGGATTTACTTAAGAATTAGTAAACTATTTAAGTTCAGTGATACCATTTATCAATATTTATTTGATTTTATTTTTTTAAATCAATATTTATTTTATGATTTATATTTCAAGCAATAAAAGATATTTATAATTGATTCTTAATATTTAAGGCTGTCTTAAACACAGTCTTAAAATGTCGTAAAATAATTATAACAGAGCCGTATTAGTATCTTAAGACACTATTTGTAAATATTAGCCAAGGATTAGGAACAAGTGAATGGAGGAGCGCGCGCCGGCCCTGAGCGCCGCATGGATAAGAGCGATTATTCGTTAACTTTAACCAGCTCTCCTGCCACAATTACTTGTCAGATCAAAATTTGCTAAAGGAAAAAGTTGTTCCTTTTAGCACAAAGTATAACGCCCTGTACTCCGAATGCGCCAATTCTGGGACACCCTGTATATGTAAAAATATACAATTTTTTAATAATTATTTATGCATATATTTTAATAACCAATGGCCAGTGTTATGTTTGCGTTTACATATTCTTATAAAGCAAGTAGCAGTTTTCACAATTTTCCTTCGTTCCCGCGCAACGCGTGTTCGCTCTGTTCAACAAACCATTCGATCATTCTTCCTCGCTGTGTATACCGTGGGCTAAAATGAACTAAACTCTCGCGGTATGCAGCGGCGAGGTACCTAAATGAAGAAGCAAAAGTAAAAACATTCGCGCGGCGTATACCCGAAAATCCCCGAAGCGATCAAGCGACGTAAGAGTCGACCGGTCTAGTTGCCCGGTAGATTTACGACGGGTACCAAATGTTTACCCGAACGAGAGCACGAGCATCCAGTAATTATTTGGGTCACACACCCTGAAATATTGCTCTTGTTACCGCGTGTGCGTTTATAGCGCCCTCGGTATATATCGTCGGGCTGATGAAAATACGCGGTTTGATAGGCCTCGTTCGACTTTAACACCCGCGAAGCCGCGCGTGTGCACGTGCATTTCCATGCCGCGCGCGCAGGGTTCATTCATCTGCAACTTTCTGGGGGCTTTAAAGTCAAGCCACACGCATCCCGAAAATAATAGCCGTTTTCGCAGAAGCCGACAGATTACGTATAAAACGATTATACTCGGAAATGGACGGAAATTTCGCGAAACGTTTTTCTAAACTGGAAAATTTCTCTCGTTGGTGTTTTTTTTTCTATTACTACTTTTCCCATTTTTACTTGTTGAACAAGTAAAGCTCTTTATAGATTTTACGAAATTTAACGTCTTAAGTGATTTTCTCATATTATTTTGAAAGATATTAGTTTAGTTTACATTTATGAGATCACTGCACGTTTAAAGAAAAATTTAATTGCCGGTCTAAATTTTGTTAAGTGTATGAAATATCGAAAACGCTGAAAATTATTCACTGAAAAGTTAAAACATGTGGGAACTGTTTGGCCGGTATGCTGCGAAATTGAACGCAATTACATAATAATACGTTATGTTTATGACGGTATTAAATATCCGCTAAATTTGCTGCTCCTCCGCGCAACGAGGTATGCGCCAAATCGTACATCATCATGCGTATCGTCATACCCATTGCTCGAGTACAAGTAGCAAATATACAAATAGACCTATACGCTTTTCTCCCTGAGATGTCAATCGTCGTGTAGAAACACCGCGATCACGCTTGTTTTACATCCCGAATCTTGAGCCCATTCCAACACCGCGGAAGACGCCGCCGTTTATTGCGGCAAATTAACGACGACGTCCCTGTCGACGACAGTTCGTCTGAGATTAGAATAGGCAAGCGCAAGGACGTCAGATGTCTTGGAGCACGTCTCAGCCTCTGACATCTCTGCAATCTCAAAAGGAAGCGAAACGATGTTGGCTTCGAGTAGGAGAAGGCGAAGCGCGCGCGGCGACGCATTTCGCGATCGCGATTACTCGAGAGAATGGAGCCAAGGAGCACACGGTACTGCGAAGAGATGTAAATTATAGATCGGTCCCCGTGCGATCCTCTATAACGCGTGTACGAGAGAGATCGGAAGCCCCCTTCTTTTTTTTTTTTATTTGCCCCTTCGCAAAAGTACCGTAAATTCTCCGTAACGAGCCGAAGAGTAATATCGGCCGAGGTGGAGCGCGCTGCATCTCCCTGCGCGACGACGCGCAAGGGAATTACATCCGCGATTAATCTCGAAAGACGCTAAAAAAAACCGCGGCGGACGGGGGAAAGAGCCGAGCCGGCGCGGCACGGCGGTGTTGTGCCCCCCGTTCCGCTGCAGCCGCGACCGGGCTGGATGGAAACTTACGGCACGCGGTTAAAATACCAGGGCGCCCGTGTATTTTCACATTTCCGCTGCCGTCGACATCGCGGCGACGACGCGGCCGTAGGTGGTACCCGTTGCCTTTTATTCCGCACGTAATGACGACGTTCGCGCGCGCGCGTCTCTGCGCGCGTCGCATCCGCGTCCGGAAATAGGTGATAGGGACACACGCTTCGGGGATCATTTATTCACCGATTTAACGGCGTCGCGGGAATGCGGGAGACCGCCGGAGGACGCGTCAACCAAAATGTTGACACCAAAACGGCGCCTCGCGAGGGCCATCGTTCCGGAAATTGATGCCTGCCGCATGCGTCACGTCGCGTACCAAGAAAATCGGCGCCCGCGTTTGCTCTCTTCTTTTTTCCTTCAAGAAAGGTTTACCTGGTCCAAAAGACCGAAAATTGCGATCTAAAATTACGAATAGGCAGGCTGCAACGACAGTAGTCCCCGTTTCGATGCTTATATACTCGAAGTAGCTTTCACCGCGACATTTTCGGCGCGACGACGTCGCGCTTAAAGCTTTAATCGCACCCGAACGGACGAAGTAAAGTATGATATGAAAGACACGAATGCTTTTCTCCTCCCCCGCACGCGTAGCGCTGAAGACGCCACCGGCATTTCACGAGCAACGGAAGCAGCTGGAGCGGGCGAAGACGGGTGATCTGCTGAAGGCGAAGATCCAGCAGAGACCGGGCAGAGACGAGCTGGTCCGGCAGCATATCCTCGAGGATGTAGGTCACGTGGATCCGAGTCTGGCGGAGCGGCAGCGAATGCTGAAGAAGGCCAGGCTAGCCGATCAGCTCAACGATCAGCTCAGTCATCGACCCGGGCCGCTCGAGCTCATCCAGAAGAACATCCTTCATACTGAAGAGCCCATCGAGAGGGCGGTCAAAGGTATCTCGCGATAGCCTCTACTGATATAAAATAGCATTTTAAACGGTACATAGCTAATATATCAAAAAATGCAATATATATGTTACCGTCAAAACCCATAATCGTTAAAACCCGATTTCACTAGCATAAAACTAGTTTTATTATAGTTAAAACGAGGTCTATAATTGTATTGTTTCTCATGGATTTTTGACTTTACGTCTAATCAACTATTCTATATAGTTTTAACTAATGAATTCGGATTCTAATGGATTATGGGTTTTGACGGTAACATATATACGTAAAAAATCAAGCATATTTTATTTATTATGTTAACTCATTAGCGTAATGTTACGTCAAATTCAATTTCTACGATCTCGAAGCCTTTGTGTATATATATATATATGACCTACGCGACACGCTTTTCCATGACTGAATTCCTCCCCCAGAGGGTCACATTCCCTTCAAGGCCACCTGCGAGGGTCAGGTGACGAAACCCCAGCACCCGGATCACTATATCACTTTCGAGGATGACTCCCAGAGCTCGGAGGGTGCGCCCTCGCCACAGCTCGAGTCGCGATCGTCGGACGTTCTGGAAACCGCGGCAGCCTCCGCGGGCATCGTCACGGTCTCCCTGAGCATACCGACGACCGGCGGCGCCGTTGTGGTCTCGTCGACGTCCCCCGTCTTCCAGCAGACATCCACAGAATCGACGATACAGACGTTCGCCGAGCTCTGCAATACCGTTGTCGGCACGCAGCAGCAGCAGCAGCAGCAGCAACAGCAGGGTCAGCAGCAAGCTCAGCAGGGCCAATTACACGCGTCTACGCAGGTAAGTTTAGCGCAAGAACGACAATTCATTTACAACCATTCCTTTATCGTGTTACACATCGCGTTATCGAGCTCGTATCTTTCGTATCTAATAGAATTAGCAGTTTTTCGAGCTCGATTCCTAAACGTTTAGATGGCAATAGAAGCGCTAATCGAGCGCGACGAAGATTAATCGCGATTCCCAATGACAATTCCGGATATTTATCGAGGTTATCGCCCGTGGCAATTAATGTCGATGGCGATCGATAACCGCGTGTATATGCCGGTCGCATTGTAGGAGTTTGAAAAACCACCGTACGAGATCTCTCTCCCTCTTTTTAATAGGCGAGCCAAACGACGAATGGCCCGTCGACAACCCTCCTACCATTGGCGCCGGCGCCGAGCCCGATGTCCCTGGGCTCGACGACGTCCAGCCTGAGCCCCCTGTCCAACATCTCGATAGCGTCGCCCCCGGCGCCGCCGCCGGCGGCGATCACCCCGCGGCCGCAGCCGAGCCCGATAGCCGCCGCAGCCGCCGCCGTCGCGGCCGCCGCCGTCACCACGTGCCAAAGGAGCGACGCCCCCGGGAAGGACAAGAACAGAAAGAAGTCCAAGACCAAGAGCCAGCCCAAGACCCGCACGATCAAGTTCCACGAGTATAAAGTAAGTTTCGCTTTCAATTTATTGTGTCAACATTTCGGGCGACGAGAACAACCGTGTCATTCTCCTGTGACTTGCACGAAGGAGAGCAGCGCGCGCGAGATGGCATAACGTCGCGCTTTTTCTTTTATCGCCGTGCCGTGCAGACGATGATACTGTTGGTTCTCTCGTCGGGAGGTATCGATTTTATTACGCCGGGGCATTATGTCTTCACAGAACGGCCATTGAAATCGCGATGAAAGTTATTAAAGGGTATTCTCGAAACGCATCGACAGACAGACAGAGAGAGAGAGAGAGAGAGAGAGAGAGAGAGAGAGAGAGAGAGAGAGAGAGAGAGAGAGAGAGAGAGAGAGTAGTACGTACGTACGTACGTACGTACGTACGTACGTACGTACGTACGTACGTACGT